TTAGCGTTAAAAATCTGTGTATAATAGGGAATAGGTTAAAAAATAAATGTGTCATTTTTTTGGCCATAGCGGATGGTAAAGGGTTAAAAGGTCTTTCCAAAAAACAATTTTACGAGATGGTACTTGCATACATTTACATAAAGTATAAATATTTACACAATGCTTCACATAGTTACCATAGATCCATTTTCACAATTGTGATGCATGATTTAAAATAAGAAATGATGCAATCTAACCATGAATTAAAATAATCATATAAGAAAACAGAAGTTCTTCCAAGAAACCAATCACACAAGATGGCACTTGCACATATCAACACAAAGTACAATTCAGCCTAGGCTACCTCCGATTTACTCAACAATGACATTTTTTTAATTACTGTAGTTATGGTTTATAGACCTTCTACCATGCAGACTATGCATCATGGTGGCTAGATGCTTTTGTGGAAATTTATACTGAAAAACAGCACTGAGGCATAATTATCAAATGTATGCATCAGTCACAAACCAAGACTTTATCAATGCATATATGACATATATGACCCATACGGCAATTACGCTTGCATGTCTTTCACAGTTTTCCCCTTTCAACATTTTAGCCAGCCCAGGGGCATTGGGTTAAGTTCAGAAACTGCCAAAAACAATCTAAAAATCAATTATCAATATTCATGTCTCTTAACCTCAAATTTAGATATTGTTTTCACTACAAAGGGATAAGATAAATGGATAAAAGGGATAAGTAAAATATAAAAGTATCATGTCACACTTATAAATCTAAGTTATAATTTCTAAGTAAGATTATAAAATGTTTTATCAGCACCATCAAGGGCATACAGTTCTTTAAATTAAGTACATTTGGTAATATTATCAAGGATCTGGTAATCTTCTACAAAATCAATAAGATCACAAACCACTCTGTCGGTATCTTTCACACTTATTCAGCAATTTATTATTATATATAGAATACATCTAAATCATTATAAAATTACTGGAATAGTAATATTCAACTTACCTCTTTGGGAAGTTCTATTTCATTTTGCTTCAACTGAGATTTCTTTGAACTACGTGACTCTTTTACTGAAAAAGAAGACAAATTAACATGGGAAAAATAATGCATACAGCCACTACCTATAAACTTCAAGCTCTTTTGTACTTTAACTTGATTACAACCAAAATTAACACCAATATGCATCTCAATATACAACTAAAATAAAGTACATGACAACTAAGAAACTCGACACAATATGAAATGACTGCCTGTCCCTATCATGTGTAAATTATCTATATCCAATCATCTACTGATCAACTAACATATCAGCTTAAACATCTGATTTTGAAACTTACTAGGAGACTTCTTCTCTTGTTTGACATCAGCCAGAGCCTTAGTGGGCGGCGATGACATCTTTGAGGTAGTTTCTTGGGCAGGAGACTCGGATGGAGGGGCTGCAGCTGGTGCTTTCTTGGGCGAGTTGTCTATGTCTCTATTCTTTGGAGGACGCCCTCTCTTCTTTGGTGGTGGGCCCTGTTGATGGAGGAAAAGATAAGAGGGGGGGTTTGAGCTGTGATTAAGCAGGAAAGAAAAATCAGAGGCTTCCCTTTTGAGATAATCATACAGGTCTCTCTTGGAATCGAGAGACTGCTGATTTTAGCACAGCGGAAGACTGGTGACTCAGTTACCAATCCAAATTTGCAAGGGCATTTTCATGAATAATATCTATTCCATGAAATACCATTAACCCATTAGTGATGGGTAAAAATTTTGTCACGTCTACGTATGTGCCGGCTTGTTGGCGCGCACTGGCAGTTTCCCCTGTTTGCGCCCGGCTCGATCAGTAGTTTGCGAGCGACATATAGCACCTAAAAGCTTTTATTTTTCTAAAATCTATAAAAATATTAAAATTTTGAAGGTTTACCTTCACTTTAGGTGCCATTGCCTAAAATCTTTACCATATAAATGAAGCCGCTACTAGTGGAGAAAAACAACTTCCGTCCGACGAGCCAGTAACACGGGAATGGGCATGGCATGATGCCCCCGGCATTTGGTCCACAACAGCCATGGCATGTACGTACGTGACACCCGGCGCCAATGGGTTAATACACATTTTTTCAGTTCTTTATATGTAAATGTTGTCAGGTTTATAAAACATAGCTCTCCTTAAAATATTATGAGCTTAAAAATGATAAAACTATTATAAGATCATACAGAATGTAGGAAATTTCTATATAAATGCTATTATCAATGTTCACTGTCTACAACTTATCTATTTCTTCCAGACTATAAACAAACAAAACAAAGATAAAAGTAATACCATCTGCTATCCAAAGTAGCCAAAAAATTCTCAAATGTATGTACTCAAAAATACATACAATTTTGGACAGCTATACCATACATGCAGAATCAAAATTACAAGTGGGGGAAGGTAGGTAGTGACCACTGCCTTTCAAAATAAAAGGACACCCCTTCTCATCATTCCCAATCAAAAACTACGGCCTGAGTAGGAGCAGCCTTCCAAGAATTTACTATATTTTATAACATCTCTATGCACCTCCATTTCAACCAGTATCACTTCCAACAATCACATTATAACGTGTTAATCAGCAGACTAAATATTTTTAAAACATAAATAAATAAAATAAATAAAATGGATAAACTAAAAGACAAACATAACTATAACCATAACTAATTATAAATATAGATTTATTTAAATATAAGCATGAATATAAATTCATAAAAACATAAATATAAGCTTATATACATTTAAATGTGAATATAAATATAAATGTATCAACAAATACAAATATAACTATAAATATAAATTTACACAAGTATAAATTTATATAAATATATATATAATATAAATTATAAATTAAATAATATAAATTCATATAAATATATATTCATATAAATATATATTCATATAAATATAAATTCATATATATACAAATTCATATATATACAAGTATAAATCTACACAAATAAATTTATACAAATATAAATATATATAGATATAACTGAAAATATAAATATAAATATAAATGTAAATATAAACAAATATAAACACAGTATACAGTAGATAGTATAAAAAAAAAATAGAAAATAGAAAATAAAACATATCAAATAAAGATATGAACTAAATAAAAACACAATAACAAAACTAAATACATATATAAATGAACACATGCATATATATAAATAAACAGCTTGTTTGAAGAAAAAATTCTACCTGGTTAGTAAAACTATAACCATTACGAATGATTACAAAACAAAGATTTGACTTCATGGATTGATTCAAAATAGAACGAGACTCACTAAATGAATCTTTATTTGCACTTTAAAAAAAAAGTTCTTTTGATTAAGATTCCTTCTTTAGTCTTTCATAAAGATAAGCATTTATGAGCTCATATTGTTCCCCTCAACAAGGTATATGGAAGGCCATTCTTTCATGCTTAATGTAAATTAATATAAAAATGAAAAAAAAGTGTAAAAAAGCATATTCTGAATCTTGCAGAAATTTGAAATTGTTAGTCCATTTTCTTTTTCTCAAATTGAAAAAAAAAAAAAAATCAGGTTATACAGGCCTATGTCAAAAAATAAATATATAAATAAAACTCGAACTTACTGTTGGGGTGGGCATTTCTTCCGGCACTGCAGGTGACTCTGCTGGCGCAACTTCCTCTGACCCGGAGAGGGAGAGTCTTTTTCTTGGCGTGGTGACAGGTGCACTGGGAGTACTTTTGACTGCATTGCTAGTTTTGGTAATTGAAGGGGTACTTGCAGCCTCTGCAACTGTGACAATATGTACCATAAAGTAAATATTGTTCTTTTGCATAATTTGCTTATATTACAAATAAAAGTAAGTACAAATACTCATTCAACTTCATAATTCCATTCTTTACATAAAATAATTTATCTCAGCGCTACCACTCAAAAAGGCCAAATTTTGCCGAATGTGCACAGTAATAAGCAAAAACTATAATCTGTCACGTAAACTTTCATATCACGATATACATGTTCCACTACATTTACGACAGTGGATTCTCTTTTGAAGATAACCAGTAAATGAAACTAAAGTGATCATTACTACAGAGTTGCAATATCAATCAAACTTATCAAAGCCCAATTGCAACCTATGGTAAAGAACTTTCAGCTTTAATGCAAGTGTAAAGTGTGGTACCATATTTCTTAAGACAACTTTGTGAAGAAATCTAACAGAACATTATTTACTGTTCAAGAAAACAAGTGAATGAAAGCCACAACTAGCATAAACTTTACTTATTGTAAAAATTCTAGAACATTTACAACAAATCCTGTTTAAACTTACATTTAAAATAAGTTACAACTTCTATATATTCTGGCCTAGTTCATTTTGGTTTCCAAACTGCAACCCTGTGAGAGCAACTCTCCACAGATAGACTTGTAAATATTCTTCACCTTATAACAAACATCATCTATTCAAAGAAGCAATAGCCATCTACTTATCCTCTTTCTTAATCAGAAGTTGAACCTCCCTTGACTTGCAAGCTTAGGAACAGACAGGTACAACAGTAGCAGATTTTCCAAACAAACACAATAATTCATATCCTGTGAAATATTCCTGATGTGGATACAATTTGTATATGAATTAACCTAGATCCAGGCTCAACAGACTTACCCCACTCATGCCAGACATCTAGTCACATCACAATGAGCCAGGCCAAAATGCAAGGTGCCAAGTATCCATGCCACATACAGTCAAGTCTGTTATAAACTGTGCTTATTAATTAAACTGCTCTCAAGTTTGGTGCTGACTGTGGTGACTGAGGAGATACAGCACCTCGAGAGTAGGCCTGGGGTCCCTTTCTAGCCTGATTTCCAAAGCAATCACAGAGTAAATGTATGCTTCCCCCACTTCTAATTTTCTTACTCAAAACAGTTGAATGTGCATAGTGCCCAGCTTGTGGCTTGGTATGGCACGGACAGGTTCAGTTCAGGTAGGCAAGAAATAAGAGTTGTGGTGCAACAGCTGGCTTAATGGTAGCAATGTAAACTACCAACCACTACATTCAAATTAGCTCCCAACTGTCAAAGACGACACCACTGGCTAGGGAGGTTCAGCCTGCATTTCACTTTTGTAGAAGTTTTACATAAAAAAATTCCTCTTTTCGGAATCTTTCTGATCATCTAATCATTCACAAAAACAATTCAGAAAAAGTAACTTGCAACCTACCTGGAACAGGAGTGGAAGGTGTGCCTGCTGCTGCTGACGGTGGGCGGGAAGCATCTTCACCTTCATCTAAGAACTTTTTAGGCTTTATTAGCCTCCCACTTCGACTAACTTGGGGTTCCAAAGATTCTCCAGATTGCTGTAATACAGATAATATAAATTACATATCAGGTTGCAGAAAAAAATCTAGATACCCAATCTTTTTCTTCTTTGTTGCCATCCTTATCAGATCACAGGAAAAAAAATCTTAAGCCTTGAACTTTCATTTTTGCTTGTTTTTATATACTAGTGAGTTAACCAGATTTCCCAATAGCACACTTTAATGAACTAATTCAGAGACAATTGTAGCATATTCCACTGAAAATTGAGAGACTGGTGATTACGGGTCTCATAGAGTAACTATCGGCTCCATTATATGCCATGTTCAGATTATTATTTGCCACATTCATATAAGTACTTGGAGAAAATTATTTCTACTTGCTTTTCTCATATTCATATAAAAAATTATAGTATGATGAATTCATAATGCACAAGGCATAAATATCCTTTGATACTGATATGAGATCTTTATACCAATGCTCTTTGTTGCTTTTATCCATATTCCATCCAAACTTTCAAAAATTCATGAAATTGAACTTTATTATTACTTATAAGCAAGAATAACCATCATAGTGACAAATGGAAATACTCATCAATTCCATTTTAGTAAAGTTTTTCTGCCTTAGTGCTGTTAATAAATATGGATCTTCAAATGACTTGTATCTTATCTTTTCATAAAGCTCATCATTACAAAATTGATCATAGGGACCACCACAAAAAAATTGAAGATCTCAGGGGGTCACATGACCAATTCTTTTAAAAACAAAGCTATACAGCAATGCTTAGTCTTGTCCTAGCGCCACTTACTAGTTGTGTACATAAACAAGTAAAACAAATATCTGATGTTCTTCACATGGCTTAATGAAAAATAAAACCCAGGAGCCCTTCACTAAAGCTGTAGAGTAGGAAATTATAGTTCTATAAATATGTAGAATAACTTATTTAAGAATAAATTTCATTTACCCCTTATTTAAATAAATGAGATGCATGACTATCATTGCTAAACAATACACAAGTTCACAGGCTATATAATTTTCACTGTATATCATAGAACTAATACTAGCCCTAAGCTTTAAAATCATTAACAGGCATTTGGAGCTTCATATCTATAAACAAAATATATATCATTACTTTGTGAACACTAATACATACCTAATCTGTGAAATAAATAAACAAATGAATAAACAAACAACAAATACACAAACAAATTAATTAAATATAAATAGATAAATACAACAAAGAATAAAAAGAAATTAATCTATTTCCTTACCTACCTGTTTATCTACTCATTTACTTATTTATCTATTTATTCATTCTTTTATTTATTGAACTATTTATCTATTAATTTACTTATTCATCTCCTTACCTATTCATTTACCTATTTTTTCTTCATTCACCTATTCAAATATAAAAGCTAAACCAAATTTAACAAAGCTACTTATTTCCACTTCACTTCCCTGTACAGCATACACGAAAATGAAACACAGCCATCATAAATACCTGCTTTGGAGTTTCTTTTGGAGTTTCTTTAGCTACAAGTTTTGACTGTTTATTTTCTTTTGGAGTTTGCTTTGGAGTTTCTTTGGGTGTTTTCTTAACATCAGAAGATGCCGCTTTCTTGGCTGGTGTCTCTGAAGCTATGTCGGAATCCTGCCTTTTTCTTTTTCTTCCAGGTTTTGCCCCTAAACATGAAATATCAACTTATCAGTTTTCCATTCTAATCTAATTTGCTGGCTTATTTCAAGTTTCAATTACCTGTCTTTTCTAATAAAATTTTCCATTAATTTGAGACTATCTCATAATATTCTAACATGATTCATAAGAAATCAGGAAAGATTATCATACTGTTCTCTAAAGAATATAAATATAAACTAAATATCACACTGCTTCTTTTTCCAAGCTTGAAGACAAATGATTATCTCTTTACATTCCACATTTTCAAAATGAAAATCCATAAATGAAGATAAACTGGATAAATAATCTTAAACTTAACTTCCTAATATTTCCTACAACATGCACTTTAAAATACAAAACAAAAAAATCTAGTTCTTTTTATAAATATCAAAAAACAAGCATGTTCCATAAAGTCTTTGTGATACCTACTCTTCCCATGAAGTTGATAGTTCCTTAAAAGCGAGTTTTTTTTTTGCAAAATGACCTTCGGATTATAATGAGAAAGTAAAGCCAATGACTACTGTATTCTGCACATTCTTTTGCAGGTTACAATCTTTGAAAAACTGGAAAGACTAAAAGGAAAAGAATTCCCAAGATTTTCCATCTAAGAAAAAAAAAAATCTCCCCATTCATACCTTTCCCTGCAGACTCATCGATAACTAAATCTCCTACATCCTCATCAGACTCTTCAGACTTAACATCTGTCGTCACTGCTGGTGTCACACTTAGGGACTTTCTGCCGGGCTTGGCTGCAGGGGTTTTTGGGGTACCAGGGAGGGAGGCTGAGGACACGTCTGGTGGTATGGGCTGTGAGGATAGAGAACTCATTTTAAGGTTTGTTGCTGGGATAACCCCACAATGCACTTTTTATTGCTAATACTTCAAACTTACATCACAAACTCCTTCTCTTAATGGAATAAGCTTTGCAATGAAGCAACTAAAATCTATAAAATGGGAAATATATTAAAAATAAAAGCCTGTAGGAAAAAAAAAAGAAAAAAAAATCATACAAATTTAACCTATGAGACACCCGTCGCTAGTGGGTTAAACAACCAAGTCTATCTGTTCTCACCTTTTCATCCTATTTCTTTAATCTGACCCCTACAATCTAGGTAGTGTGACCATCCTGTCATAAAAATCTAGGTCAACTTTCTTTTTTATTCAAAAAGAAAACAAAAATGCAAAAATAAAAATCTAACTGGATCAAATTGCCTATCCTGAGCAGTATTAAAGATATCATTATCATAATCTACACTCCATTCTTTTGACATTTATACTTCATGCTCTACACACACATTATCAAAAGGTATTAATGCAAAGCATATTTCATGAGTAAATATACCTAAAACCTCTAAATGTTCTTTTAACTTCCATGAACTCATGTCTAAACTGCTATATATAACAATTCACTCCATGATGTGTATGAATCATTCCCATCAAGATATAATCAGAGGTGTGGGAGTTTCCACATACATATACAATACACTAGGCTACTTAATTCTAAATAACTGCAGACCCTCCCTTTCCCAGGGACAGTCCACCTGTATTTCATATCAGTTCTTACAACATATAAAATATTTAATGCATTTTGTTTGAAAGCTAGTACCTTTTCTATCCCATTCACCAAAAGCTTTAACCCATCATCTTGAGTTCATGTAGTGTTTGGTGAATTGTCATGCAGACAGATGTCTCCCCAAAGAGTCAATAAGTAGGCCCTTGTGACCAAACTATTTCTACAATCCTTGATTTTTCTTTTCACATGCTATTAACCCATTAATGCCTGTATATTTTGAAACCAAAAATAAAAGATTCCGAGCGGCTATAAAATCGGCGGGCGGACGTAGCGCACTGCTGCGTCGGAGCGCAAACCCCGATACAGCGTTACACTGATACATATGATACTGTCTCATATGTGGGACACCCATCGTTAGTGGGTTAACCCACTGGAACTAGGTAAAATACCAATGTCATAAAAAAATTTGGCTGAGGGCTAGGTGACAAGAATATGCTGCCATGGAAAAATTTGGCTGAAGGCAAGAGTGACAGGGAATGATTTGCCATTAGACTCAGTGGACACTCAGGTAGGGCTCTTGCATTATTTCTACCAGTAAATGAAAGTGAAATGTACCATCTGTTCACCATGGCTGGAAAAGTCTAGACATGAGAGAGGGCACCATTTACATGATCAGGATTTTATTCTTCCCGCTATGACCAGCAGTACAGGGTGTGTCAGAGAAAATATAATAAAAAAACACTTTAAAAATGAAGAAAAATAACAAAATGTTACTTATTGTTATTGTTACCTAGAGATATGATATGGAGTCTGTGCAAAGAAAACTTTCTTTTACCATCTTGATACAGCATATTAAATTATTAATATCACTTTGCTGATAGACACAGCTGTAGCCATAAAGGAAAGCCTAACCTTCATGACAAGCACATGTATATGCATAATGACTCACTCAAGCAAGCAAGCAAGTGGAAAGGACTGGCTGTAAACAGCGAACACCCTGTCGGAAAAGCTGCCAGCAGTCATTGGCATGAGTGCAACACAGAAAATTCTGGCAAGGTCAATATATGGATATAGACCTTGGAAAATGGAAAAACACTTATGAAGAAAAAAAATTAAGTACACAGCAATAGAGAAGCAAGGAATCTTGATAATATACAATATCATTTGTGTGGGCCAAGCCTAGAAGCAACACATCCAAGAGAATTGTCACTCATCTAATGCCTGTATTTTCAGATATAAGCAGGCAGCAAGGATCTAACTGGTTAAAATACTACTAAACAAATCTAAAAGATGCCATGAATATTGATACTTTTATTATTATGGAATAAAAAATATGATTACTATTATGTTATTCAAATACTAATAATAAAGTATCAAAAATCTTTTGGAAAATCAAAGAAAGGGGTAAACAGGAGCAATAGGTACAACTAATAATTGATTCCTTAGTAACTAGGCATTTGATGATCCATCTACGAATAAACATAATTAACTTAGTGGATCTGGATTGCTTCACTGCCATCATGCGGCCCAAATTATGGGCCTTTGGCTTACCTGAGCAGCCACTCTGTCAGGTGTGCAGTTTGTAGGCTGGGCGCACACGAACAAGCACAATATTATTTTCTCTTTATCTGAGTAAGAGTTTTTAGCTTTTTTGCCATTTTCCCAAGTCTGAATTTATCACTTCATTTACTTTATCCAAATAGTAATGGGCTGCTTTCCTTGCATAGACTCCGTATCATCTCTCTAGGTAGTTCCTAATTTGGTGCAACCATAATACTAACATTTTGCTATTTGTGTAACTTATTTTTTTCTTAACATTCTATTTTCAGTAATACAACCTGCGCCACAAGTCACAGAAGCTAGGAATAGGATCCTGAGCATGGAAAAAGCGTACTTCATGGAGCCAGCACACTTACTGGGATGGGTCATAGACACTACATTCCACACTCATTAATCAATAGGAATAATGCAAAAGCCTCTTCTTAAATGGCAAATGAGTCTAATCACCCATGAGCTTTCTGAACTCTTGGTAAGTCCTTCATATCACCCCAGCCTTCACCTGAAATGTTCACGACATCAAGTTGTGTCATCCCAGCCCAAAGCCAAATTTTCCCATGATGGCATGTTCATGTCAATTGCCTCTCCAGTCAGATTTTTTTACTACAGGATGGTCACATCATCCAGATTGTAGGAGTCAATAAACTAAAATTGCCGTGGGCATGCATGCCATGCCATCCATGCCCAATAGGTTAGTTACAATGCAGGGTTACCAGAAAATATCTCCAACTGATTTCTATATCACATGAAACTTACTATGCTTGGGTCTAGACTTGGATTATTTACAATCTGCCACAGGCCTTCATTGAAGCCCTTCCTCTTCTGTGGTTTCCCAAACTTCTCTACGTGGGTTGAGTAAGGGAATAGGTCATCTGGTTTCAGCAAAGCCCTGAAATCAAATTTTGGGATATAGTATACAAGAATTTTTAGAGTATCAATATTTTAAGGGCATGAATTGATTAACACATGAACAGTCTTCACTGCAACAAAGACAGAATAAGATGCAACTGAGAATAAATATCTTAACAGCACAAGGATGTATCTCTGATGAAGATATAGTTGACACCAGTATAATACATCACTTGCATTCAAGACATTCTTTCTTGTTCAGACCTTGTATAATGTTGACTAACAGTTTAAAAATCTAACACAATGTTAAATGCGAAGACTTTTTTTTTTTTTTTTTTTGCTAGCACTGTCATGCTGTTAATAAGATCTGACAGATCTTGCAATAACAAGAGTAGCAAGATTTAACCCTCATTGTGTCATAGTCCAAAGTCCTTAAATTAATATTTGACTGAATAGACACAATAACTAATACATATACTCCTTGGTAAAATACTAAAAAAAAAAAAAAAAAAATGCACGAAGAATTCATTCACATGCTGTCACGACAAATACCAAAGGTGTTACATTTTCATTAAAAACAAATAAAGGTGTTTATGTCAATCGCACAGCCTTTCTTATCTATTTGAAAGTCTGTCGGCAAGACACAATTTGTTCTTAGCTCATGTGTATTTTGACAGCAATACCTTCCTGATGCCATTTTTCACGAGCTGAATTTCATGCAAAAATTCAAACAACTTGATTCAAACAATAAAAAATTTTAACGGTGATCTTTTCATCTTACTTTCACTGTAATAGTTGTGTGGGTTACTTACGTCTCATAAGTCCCATAAAACAGGACTGGATACTTTTTTAGTGGTTTGCCAGATGGATCTTCTTCATAGGGTTCAATCTGACGGAAAAAATAATTACAAATCAGTATTTTCTATTATCTGAATTCATAAAATTAACCATACCTTTTCAGAATGCATTCACCTTCCCCTAATATAAAGATAATTAGCTAAAATAAACACCATTCCATTATGAATTTTGGTAATCATTCAGAAAAGGACAGTGATGATAGAGCAAATTAATGTATTGGTCATAATGTATCAAAAAAAAAAAAACATTACTGTATATCAAGGACAAATGCAAAACTGTTTGACTTAAAGGTAAGCCCCTAATCAGATATTGCATGTAATCCATGAATCTGTGCTTAGTGATTTCATGGCCTCTCTACTTCTCACCCTAGCAATGATCAACAAACTTCAAACAAGTATTTTCAGATAAGATTAAACTTATAGGCCTGCCTAGCAATATATCATCAAATAAGGAAAATAAGGAACAAGTTCTAGTTCTATTCAATAGTAGTGTGATGTAGATTGTTGGCCTTTGTCAGAGCCTACAGCACTGAGGCCGTGTTACTAATGAATACAGTCCCATACAAAATAATTACTTATTCTGGGAAAACTATACACAATCTTATTCTAGAATTAGCCACTGTCGGAGAAATCACTTCTCAAGACTCTACAGTAAAACATAAAGATATATGAAAATAATTCACTTAAAAAAAAAAATTACAATTGATATCAATAATAACATTATTGAACATCCTTTTAACAAGAAATCTAGATCATATTCCACAATATTTTATTACCTTCTTATACTTCACCACTCTGCAGCCTCAAGATTACTAGTAAAAGCCAAGAAAATTAAAACAAAAATTTATTAAATCAATGCCGCCAGGAAAAAAGGTTTGGCAAGCAGTCGTGATAATGGGATTGTTGGCGTGCATCGGCAGTTTCCTGTTTGTGTCCGGCTCGTTTGGTAATTTGTGAGTGACATCTGGTACCTAAAAGCTTTTATTTTGCTATAATTTATAAAAACATTATAAATTTAAAGGTCTACCTTCATTTTAGGTGCTATTGCCTAAAATCTTTACCAATAAATGAAGCTGCTACTATGAGAGAAAATAAACTCTGTCTGACAAGCAAATGGTCCACAACAGTCATGGCATGTACGTACATGCCACCCGGCAGCTAGTGGTTAACTAAATTGGTAATTTTAGCAGATGTGGAATTTTTGTTCTTCCTTTATCATTCTCCTATCCCTTGTTATTTTGGAGAAACCATGAGGAACCAGGAGTTACAGGAAGGTGGCATATGCAGCAGTCCCCAAGCAAAAGTTTATAATTTCAAAATGTTCCAAACACCAGCCAATAACCTTGGGGGATCCCATCAAGAATCAGGGGTTTGGGGTGGGGGGATATGAGAGGAATTGTTCATAACAAGCATTTCAAAATTCAAGCCAAGAATTCTACCTTAGATAAAAATGAAAGTAGATAAAAGGAAACCTCCAATCCAACATTTGGTCACAGGAATTCGACAGAGCATCGTGAGAAAGAAACGAATGGACCCCATCCTAAATACATAAAACTGAAATTGCCAAAAGAAAAGAAAAAAACTGACATCCATGAGCTATGTACATCTAGTACATAGTTACTGCACTTCACTAATTTTAATTTCACAGAAATCACAAAACTTTTTGTGAAGAGTTCATTAAACTAAAAATTTGAGAAAGAATACAGAAACACTTGTAGCACTGTAAACAAACTTTACTTCCAAAAGGAAAAATAAGTACTGTGACAAATGACCTGTAAAATTTTCAGGTAGATGTAACAAAGAGCTCCTTGACATGTAACTCAAGGTGGGTGAGAACTTGTGGAGCCATCTATGTGTAGAGATATTTCACTAAAGAAAACTAAAGTGAATTCTACATCTTCGGAGGACCTTAACACTTCAGCAAAAAACAAACTCTTACCATATAAATACATTGTACCAAGTTGGAGCTTGAATGAATTTTTCATTTCCCAGTAAATCACCAAAGTCTACAAGCTGTATTTACTAATTCTTTACAGAATGGACACAATCGCCAGAGACTAAATCCCCTACATAGGAAAGGTATGAATGAGAATGAATCTCTTCACTATACATTTAGTATTGTATTTAGATATAATGGTCATTAAATCCCTTGCATTGTGATATTTTCTCATTCATACCTTTCCTACATTTGCCAACATGAACATGGTAAGTCCCCAACTCCATGCCGTAAAATGTATTCAATAATCTAAAATGCCACAACTGGGAGGGCACGACCTGAGGGGAGGGTTGATGACAGGCTCCGCCCCATGACACCCCTCCACAAACATTGCCTTCACCTCTGAAACACCAATGGGTGTGGAGGCTGCAAGGATAAGAGAATAGTCAAGTGGCAATTACATGGTAAATGTTATCAACATTTTCCAGTATTTGTTCAGCACTGCCTTTAAACATTTAATTTTCTGATGCACTTTTAAATCAATACATGAACAATAAATATCAATAACAATTGCATCCACTATATCTAAGACCTACCCCTGATTAATCAAGCCATAACTTTAAAAAATAATAATAATTCAAAAAAAAACATTGACAACCCTTTCCAAAATACACAACTAGATTTGTCTCTAAATCATATTTCACAATATCAAAATAGGATAAAAAATAATAATAATCTTGTAAATAACATTGTATCTTGAGTTTATTGGTATTTCGAAAATATTAAACATTCTCACTTCAAGGTAACAAAGTAATCTGAATGTTGTCTCCCTGTGTACAAATACGAAAGACACGAGAATGACAACTACAAAAGAAATTCAACATTTCTGAGATTTAAGCAATCTTTCAAACAGTAAATGTAAAAACACTGCACAAGACTGATAATAAGCACTACCAATAATAATATACAATAATATTCCAATTAAAATATTGAATATTGTCAACTCTCTAACTGGCTTCAGAATAAACAGAACAGACAATTACCCAAATAGCGTACTGCACACCAAAAAGTATGTCATTATTCCGTACACTTTCCCCCCCTGGCACATTCTCCATATGTTCTCCAAGCATACTCCAAGCATTCTGACAAAAGTATACTTGTTCTCCGTTCTCACCATCCTTCACGCACACTGTCAAAATATCTGAACCAACTACAAGCTAAGAAATGGGCCTAAACATAAAAAATACTGAGTAGAATACTTGAAGAGAATAGAAGAAGACATAATGTAAATATATTGTTCACAAATACTGTGGAGATGAACACTGAGAAATACATATGTAGTACAAAAGATTAAAACTCAACAAAAGTTTGAACAGCACTTAACAGAATTCAAAGAAGATATAAATTTGACAGTTGAAGCTTCAATTTAAGAACCAGAGACGATAGAGTAAATAGGAAAAGGACAAATGGATAAATGGCTTTCTCCGACAGTGGTTCGCTTTAGTCCTTTTTGAATCTTATTTCCTCTCATATTTAACCTTTGAAAAAAAAACCTCTCAACTTACCCTCGCTGGCCAGTGCGGGTAACCTTTGACCTTGGCGAAAATCGGATCACCGGCCTTGAAAACGTCGGATTTGGGCATTGTTTTGGTTGGAATATCGAGAAAATTTTCAAAAAAAAAGAAAATCAACGTAATAGTTATGGATGTCCTCACGCGCCAAGACCTTCGATATCCTCTTATCTCGCCTGATAAACCTCGCCTCGGGTCACTCTTCGCCCTGATCCTCTCTCGTCTTCCTCCTTTCGGATCCTCGGAGGGTTTCAGAGCCCAACGAGACTCAGTGAGCTTGCAAAAGGCGGTGTTAGTGACGGCACACTTCGCGGGAAGGACCAGCGGCCATCATGGTAAACAACGTACGCGAAGTGACGCTCGGGATGCGCAACTTTTTTCTATATTTCATTTATATATACATAAGGAGGCAGTCCATACTTTGCTGTTGTGGTATAATAATCATGTTTGGCCTAATTTATTGTATATGTTTTTTTATACTACTTCTACGGACTGATGGTCAAGTGATAATACTTATTGTGAATGTGCGTGGGTCTTTCAGTAATTTCGTTGTAGCGATAAGTTTACAGATTTAACCCTAAATAGTCCAGACTGTTTAAATTTTGGCCAGAGTATATACAGGATGATCAAGATATATGTTATAGCATTTTTCTGAATACCTTAAACATAAAATATTGGCTTGTCACAAGATATCAAAATTAGGGCACAATTCTCTATTGTTATCAATAAAATGTTTTTATGTGTTCTTAGCACATCAAAATGACTGTACTGTAATTATAAAGACTTCAAAATGAATGACATAATCATTTTCTGCGTATTTGTAATATTATGCAGAAGGGAAATCAAACAAGTTGGATCGGCAAGGTGTCAACGGCGTCACTTTGCGTCTAGAATGTATTCAGATTTCTATTAAAATTTAGCCCAGCCTTTACCTGTTGTAAAGATGTATTTCTGCAAATAATTGTCATCATCCTATTATAGATTTATATATTTAAGCATGAAAACCAAGTAAATATATGAATATATAAAAACATTTAAATACATATATACATATCCTGGGCCAAAATATATATACTATACATAAAGACATAAATGATAATATATATATATATATATATAATATATATATATATATATATATATATATATATGCATACAAGCACCTATGTATATGTATGTGTGTATATGTATATGTATGTGTATGTATGTATGTATATATATATATATATATATAATATATATATATATATATATATATATATATATATATATATATATATACATACATATATATGTATATATATACATATACATACATGCATACATATGTGTGTGTGTGTGTGTGTGTGTGTGTGTGTGTGTGTGTGTGTGTGTGTGTGTGTGTGTGTGTGTGTGTGTGTGTGTGTGTGTGTGTGTGTGTGTGTGCATAAAAATATATATATAGATAGGGACATCAATAGATGGAAAATAAATGGATGTGCATGTATGTATGCACACACACACACACACACACACACACACACACACACACACACACACACACACACACACACACACACATATATATATATATATATATATATATGTATTTATATCTATATATATACATATGTATATATATATATACATACGCGCGCGCGCGCGTGTGTGTGAGTAATGTACGTGTGTGTTTGTGTACTAAATATGCGCACTCGTACACATGAGTGAAATGGATCACACATGGATTCCTACCAGACAAATATCCACGTCATTCTAATATCATTACTATTTCATCAATTTCTTCTTGGTCACAATATCACTACATTATTTACCCAATGAATATAATCAACTACCCAAACCTCTATTTGATCACGCCTCTCTTCATCCTACTGCCTATCCTCTCCTGTCATCCTATTCTATTCTATTCATTCAGCCTCCTCTTACATATCCGTTGTTGGACATAGGCCTTTTCCAGGCTTTTTCCACGTCGGTCTATCTCCAGCCTTCCGTTACCATTTTTTTCTTCTTCTTTATTATTATCATTTCTTAATTCCCTGACATGCGGCCGTTTTTGTTAATTATTCGAGACCCGACCCAGTGAAAATTCATATATAATGCCTTGCAAATACAAATAGATGCATATCTGCCTATCTGATATAAACATATCTATCTATCTATATGGTATTCCGATAAATATGTATTTATTTCCGTGTACATGCATGCCCATATAAGGGATATTCGTGCCTCACATAATTTCAAGAAACAGGCCGATGCTCTTTTCAAAATCGGAGTCAGTAACGATAACATGGAAACTAAAGCGATTTTCTGAGAGATAACGAAGAATGCGAGAGATTTCCTGAGAAAGCGGAAGATGCGTTTCTTGTATTACTACAAACTTATTTTTTGTTTATTTGTTTGTTTGTTTGTGTCTTTATAAATTCTGGTGGGATTGTATACTCGAATAATTGTTAGTGCAATGCAAATTTTTATTATAATTTTATTTTTTCTTCGTTGTCATCTTTATTGCTATTGTTATCTGATGATAATAGTTATAATAACAACAACAACAATAATATTGATGATAATCACGATAATGATAAAATGTATAATGATGGTAACTATAATAATAATAATAATAAAATTCAAATGAATAATGACAATTAAAATTATTATCATAATCATCATCATTACTATTGCTATCGTTATCATCATTGTTATTAATATCATCATCGCAATTATTACTATCATTATTGATACTATCTATGTTGTTATCATCGTGATAATCACCATCGTCATTATCACATCATCACCATCCTTAACAACTTCATCATCATCATCACCATATTCACTATTTCATCAGCAGAATCATAGTCATCACTTTTTACGTCGTCAAAATTATCATCGCTACTGTTATTAAAGTCACTATATACTATCAATTATCACTTGTATTATTACTAATGTGAATATAGACTATTTTCAAAATAACCACTAGCATTACAAATGTTACCATCATTATAATTGATAATATTACTACCATCAAAACACTTGTCATAATATTGTCATAAGACATACTGATTTTTTTTCTATTACTGATGTTGTTACGGCCATTCAGTACTTTCCTACACTTCTTTATTTCTGACAAAATCCATTTCAAAATCAGTATGTCTTATTTCTGTTACGGCCATTCAGTACTTTCCTACATTTCTTTATTTCTGACAAAATCCATTTCTAAAGTTTTTCTTTTCTTCTTTCTTCTGTCTGATTCAACATGAAACCTTTTTGAGCACGCGAAAAAAACACTGATTTATTTGAAGCTTTTTATAAGCCTTTATACACACACACACACACACACACACACACACACACACACACACACACACACACACACACACACACACACACACACACACACACACACACACACACACACACACACACACAACACACTTCCTGACCCGCACAACTCTTCGACTAAACACAGAACAAGTACCTTTCTCAGTTCTTCCCTTTAACTTTCGGCGTGCTTCTGCGAGTGAGTGCCTGCCTCCTACTAGCATGAGGCACTCCACTCGATGCTGAACTTCTCACAACTAGCAGTATATAAAACAAAAACAACGAACACCACTTGCAACACAACGCTAGTATACTTGTGTGCAGCCGACACTCGGTTTGTTACACCATCTCTCAATCCCACGTACTGTTTTTATCTGTTTGTGTTTTTATGTTTATATCTATACACAGAGTTAAGTGTATGCATTTTGTATTCTCGCGTGATGTGTACTTATCCATCACAAAACACACACACACATATTTATATGTGCATGTTATTAAGGATATATTATATATATATATATATATATATATATATATATATATATATATGTGGTGTGTGTGGTGTGTGTGTGTGTGTGGTGTGTGTGTGTGTGTGTGTGTTGTGTGTGTGTGTATATAAATTATTGCATACACACACACACACACACACACACACACACACACACACACACACACACACACACACACACACACACACATATATATATATATATATATATATATATATATATATATATATATATATATATATATATAATATATATACGTATGTACGTATATATATGTGTCTGTGTCGAGGCATTTGTGTATTAGTAAGTATAAGCCTGTCTTTGTATGTTAGTCTACATGTGTTTGAGTCAAGTATGCATGAGCATCATAACAAATTAGATCATTTTTTACAACTCTGAAAAATAACTCCAACATATCCTATTCTCCTTATCTGTCTGAACACCAACACCGCCACCGTCACTCCTCACCCACTCGGTTCTGTGTTCTCCCTTGTTGCACTTTAAGACGAGGCAAAGTTAAAAGTTTCAGGATTGCAATTCTCGGCAGAGTGGATAGATATCTTGGGTCTTCTAGAACATTCGAAATTCGGCGTTTCGATTTTTTTTTTTTTTGCGACTTCTTGCTCAATGTGAGTTTGTTAGGTTCTCTCTCTCTTTCTCTTTCTCTTTCTCTTCTTTCTCTTTCTCTTTCTCTTTCTCTCTTTCTCTTTCTCTTCTCTTCTCTCTCTCTCTCTCTCTCTCCTCTCTCTCTCTCTCTCTCTCTCTCTCACTCTCTCTCTCTCTCTCTCTCTCTTCTCTCTCTCTCTCTCTCTCTCTCTCTCTCTCTCTCTCTCTCTCTCTCTCTCTCTCTCTCTCTCTCTCTCTCTCTCTCTCCTCCTCTCTCTTCTCTTCTTCTCTCCTAAACGCTTACTCATCTTTTCATGTCCTTTTGGTCTACATAAACAGACAGATTTGCATCATTTCCGCGCACCTTTTCCTTCATTGTTTTCCCTAAACGCTTTACTCGAGACATTTCCGGGAATTAGAGAAAAGGAAATTCCAGGTAAATCACACATAGTTTGCCCTTGTCTCTTTATTTCCATTTGTCTTTGTTTTGGATTTCTCTTCCACGCACGATCACATACACGCAAATACAAAGATATTTACAAACACAAATACACAAATGGAAAGAAGTAAATTTATCACTGCCAAACTCTCTCAATTTTTGTACCGTCAAGGAGCAGCATTAGATCCTCTGACGTGTCAATCTTCCTTTTCTGTCAAACAGCTATTTGTCATCACTCACTACCTCATAATGCGAAATTAATTGGATGAGTATTAACCAGAATCAGTGTTCACCAGGTTGGTATTAGCAATGCTATTATCAATACAATTATCGATAATGATATTATCAATGATGCAGTTATGAATGATACTGCTATTAATAATGCTGTTATCGTTAATACTGACAATTAAGGATGAAAATGGATCAGAACTTACACGACCTTACCTTGTTTATGAGCTTTTCCTACGAATTTAAGTCGTTACTTAGCATAACATACACTT